TGGGGCACATGGGTTCAGTGGCAGCTTGGGCAGTGTCTGAGGGCAGTGGGGGCACATGGGTACAGTGGCAGCTTGGGCAGTGTCTGGGGCAGTGAGAGCAGGTAGGTACAGTGGTGGTGCTGATCAATAGTTGGTGCTCATCATGTTGAGATGGTTAATTGTGACTGCCAACTTGACGGGGTGTAGAGTCACTAGGAAACACACTTCTGAGTCTAAGAGGTTATTTCCAGAGAGGTTTAACTGAGACATGACTGGTGGGCTGCTTCATGTCATCACTCAGAGCAGGTGTCTGAACAGGTTCTTGCAGCAGGCCTTGAGAGAAGGGGAAAAATACATCTCCCCACTGTAGACAGCATGGAGCATCTCCTATGCACACACATGAACAGCATAGCTCAGGGAAGACGGTCTCCAGCAAGGTCACTGTAACCAGAGGCTGCACAGAGCTCAGTGTCCCTTGACTCTCTCCTTCCTATGTGAGAGCACTCACACTACAGTGAACTGCTACAGTGACTGAATCCAGAGGCACCCCTGCCACCAGCTGACTCCAGGAGACAAGTCTGCTAGAGCTACAGATCTGTGTGGGGTAGCAGGGAGAGCAGTACCTCCAGCTGAGTTTGGGGTCCATACATGTCCCAGATCTTCCTTCTTCGGACATCAATCCCTCTGCCTGGATGCTGAAATAAGTAGTTTTGAAATCATGGGTTAAGTTCAGGCAACTACAGTAAGCTGGCACAAAGTAACAAGTCTGCAGGCACTGCCCTGCCACACAGGAAGGGCAGGACATGACTGGCATCTGCAGAAGGCACAGTTCTCAACTCCTGGCAACACTACACACCTGCATGGCTAGTGAGAACTCACACCCTGCCAATGATCACCACAGATCTTCAAATGAGACCACAGTGGCCTATGTGTGGGACACCACTGCAAATGACTCCTTTATAAACACCCCAGAAAGCTCCAGCTTGGAGCTGTGGGCACCACTCTGAGACTGATATGAGTCCAGGCAAGAAGTGTTGTTGGAGCTGGGTGGCTGCACACTCCGGAGTCAGGGACAGCGTTTCTCTGTGAGTCTGAGGCTAACCTGGACGACACAGCAAGTGCTAGGCTACTGAAACCTTGCCTCAAAAAATTAAAAACAAGAAACATGGGGCCCCTTTGCCCAACCTATAGGACCCTTAAGAAAAGACAACAGAGCCATGCTCACCCCCTCACTGCTCAAGATGTGGACCAGGAGGCCATTTCCGCACCCTAAGTCCACGAAGGACTGCTTGGTGGTGACTCCCCTCTCGGCCCTCTCATCTTCCCATAGGATCTGAGGAAAGAGACAAAGCAAAGACAACCCACATGTTGACTCGTTCTGTTCCAGAGCAAACCTAACAGAGCAAAGGCACACACGTGCCATCTTGGGAAGATGGGGCAGGAGGACTATAAGCTCAAGGCTTGCCTGGGAAACCCGGTGGGATCCTGTCTCAAGATTTTAGAAAGGGAGTTGTGACGAATGGCTCAGTAGTAGAGCACTTGCCTGCCATGTATGAAGCCCTGGGTTCCAGCCCAAGTATTATACAGAAAAAGAAAAAGAAAGACTCAAACACTAATGCCACGGGGGAGGGGAAGGATGGAGAAACTTCTCCCAAGGCCCCAGGGCTCCCAGACAGGTGACACGAATGTGCAGAACAGAAGGGGTCTTTGGCCCACGGACACAGCCCTACTCTTCTCCTTTGATGCTGCATTCATTCAGGGCCGGGGTATAGCTCAGAGGTTATGTTGGAGTGAGCCCAGCACACAAGGTTCTGGGTTCGATCCCAGCACTGTTAAAATGGCATCCACATCCAGTGGTCATCTCCAGGAACCAGCACACCAAGACGATGCAGGGTTTCTTTATACTTTCTCCTCATCCTTTAACTTCTGCAAGCCTTATCAACCAAAAGAACCCTGTTCCCTAAACTAAGAGAACTACAAGTTAAAGGGAAACTGGGAAGCTCTAGTTTAAACGCTTTACAGATAAGAAAATCAAGAATACTGAGTTAAAGAAGTGTCCAATTGAGCTGGCTACCAGCAAGTTAAGGACAGACTAGGAGAGAGAGGCCCAGGCCACAGCTGGATGGCACCAGATTATCAGTGCCTCCACAGTGACAACTGTGTCTCATTGACTCCTGCCCATCTGCCCTCTTACACCCAAATTCCTAATTCACATTAACTCTGTGCTCATGCAGGATGTGAAGTCATTTCACAGCAGAGCAAACCACAAGCCTGACTTGGTGACTGGTCCACCCCAGCTAGCAGCATCTGCCAGAAGCAAGCTTCACACTTCACACACTCCATGAGTGTGAACACTGCTAAGTGTTCTTACCAGCAGGTATGTAGCGATGGCCACATCTTCATAGACAAACTTATCAGGATCTGTTACTTCAGGCCAAACCTAAAATGTTTTCAGGGAATATGGAAATAGCTGTGAAATTACTTTGAACAACTTAAAGTATTTCATAGCAGCCTAAGTCAAACCAACTACAACTAAGAGAGCTTCATACAAGAGCACAGGCATACACTGCATGTATGGAACAGAAAGTGTCCTACACAAAGAGATCCAAAGCACCAACAATATAGTTTAAGATGTCTGATACAGAAAAAAGTCAGTTTATCCAGATAAAGATAATACTAATGGGGCTGGAGAGATGGCTCAGTGGTTAAGAGCATTGCCTGCCCTTCCAAAGGTCCAGAGTTCAATTTCTGGCAACCACATGGTGGCTCACAACCATCTGTAATGAGGTCTGGTGCTCTCTTCTGGCCTGCAGACATACACATAGAATATTGTATCCATAATGAATAAATAGATAAATATTAAAAAAAGATAATACTAACGAAATGAAGAAGGGGGGCAGGGCTAAGAGGGAAGCTCAGTCAGTAAAGTACTTACTTTGCATGAAGATAAGAATTCAAATCGCTAACACCCACATGAAAAGTCATGTATGGCCCTGTCCCAGCCCTGGGTCATTGGTAAAAGGAAGATCACTGGGGCTTGCTGAGTGCCAGCCTAGTTCCAAGTTCAGTGTAAAACCCTAGCGACGGAGCATGTTACATGACATTCTCCTTGGACTTTGCATGTGTGCACACAGGTGTATCCATCCTCACACATACGCACGTGAGTATTCAGACAGATACACGATGGGAGTGGTGCAGACAGACACAGACGGACTCAGGAGACTAGGCCAAGTGCTCAGGCCAGGCTCTGCTGACAGGCAGGACAGTAACGCACCTTGTGAGTCAGCCATGTTCAGAACTGACGGGGCCAGTGAGTGACTTAATGGACAAACCATGTCCTGGGAACAATCTAATAGCTGAAAAACAGGAGTACCTTCTTAAAGGAATGGAGAGTCCACAGAAGACCCCCGGGCCAGAGTCTCCAGAAGGGAGCCCAGCTGTGTACAGACAGACCTGAACTGCATCTCTACAATGAATAATCACTGTGGCTCGAGCCTGTGGTTTTGGCAACTTTGCCCTATAAGCACAAGGACTAACTCAAGGCCACGTTGTCATGAAGCATGCTACTTTTTTGGAGCACTTGCTTTAGTAACACCTGTAAGTGAATGGGGCCAGAGCTACTGAGCCAGCTCAGCCGTTAGGAGAGCTTTCTGCTCTTGCAAAAGAACCCAAGTCAGGCAGCTCACCACTACTGCATGAACTCCAGGGGATCTAACACTCTATTACATCTCTGTGGGCAACTGCATGTCTGTGCACATATCCCCACACAGACAGACACACATATAAATTATTCAGTTTTTTCTTTTTAACTAGCCAGGCCCACATGGTGGCACATGCCTGTAACCTTAGCACTTGGGAGGTAAGACAGGAAGACCATGAGTTTCAGGCTAACATGGGCTACAGGGTGACCCTGGCTCGAAAAACAAAAATTAAATTTAAACAAAATGTAAACTTTATAAACTAACACAATGTTTAATATTTTTTGATTAAAATTTCCCTTTTGAGTTCCTGAAAAATATAAAAAAGTTTACTCCTTCTGAGTTTAAAAATGTATCGGAACACCCACTTGGTTTACATTGCCTGCACCCACAGTGGGTTTTCAGTGTGATGCCTGAATTTGATAGGATGCCCACAGGGAAGAGTCTCCCAGGCAGGCACTGGCTGTGTCACTTGTTAAAAGGGGGACCTCGGACACTCCTGGAGCATTACCTTTACCATGTCTCTGTACTTCTCTTTGAGTTCCTGATACAGCCTGCTGTAGCGCAGGACGGACACCAGGGAAAGGGTGCTTTTAAATTCACTCTTCCTGTTCTCCACGGCCCACCTGGCAAGCTTGGACAGCAGTTCTTCTCTAAGCCAGGCAGGCTTGGGGTAGACAACGCCATCTGAATGCCACCTCTCTGGACAGAAAATTAAAACAGATATGAACCTTCAAAAATAAGAGAAATACCAGTAAGAAGAGCTGGCTTCAATTCTTATTAAGTTATATGTTTATTCCCCAGAAGACAGCAGTAACTAAAACATCTTTTTTCTCCCACTCTGTGTGTGTGTGTTGCACGTGCATGTGTGTGTTGTTGTGATCAAACCCAGGGCCTGTCAAGGCACACAATGGGCAGTGTTCCACCACTGAGTGACAAGTCTACACTGTATAACAATCAGGGCTCTAAACTATGACAGGAAATGCCACCCACTCCTCCGATCAAACTATACAAATAGCAGCATGATGATGGGATTAGAGTTCCTATGAATTTGGCCTAGATTTGAAAGGTCTTCCAAAGGCTCCTGCATTGAAGGCTTGATCCCCAATTCATCCAAGTTTAAAGATGTGGCCTTTGGAAGTGGCTGGACCATGAGAGAACCAACCTCACCAACAGGCTGACTCATTGGTGGACTCAGCTTATGGGCCATTGGGAGTGGTGGGAGCTTTAGAAGGTGAAGTTCTGTTGGAGGAAGTAGGGAGCTGGAGGGGCACTCTTGAAGGGTAGAATTTGTCCATGGCTCCCTCTTGCTGTCAGCTTCCTGGCTGCCCCCAGTGAGAGGCTTGACTAAAGCACATGCTCCTAGGTTTTCACTACAGGTCCAAAAATCAAAGAGGGGAGACCACAAACTAAAACCTCTGAGACCTTGTAAAAACTACATACATACATGTATATCTGTGTGTGTGTGTGTATGCGCACGCACATGTGTGTGTGTCTGTATGTGAGTGCTCAGGTTCTCTCCTTCCATCACATGTGTTCTGGGGATCACTCAGGTTCTAAGATTTGAAGCAAGCACCTTTGTGAAGGTGTCATCTCCCAGGCCTTGAAACCTCCTGAAGGTGAATCCCTTTGGTATTTTGCCACGGCAACAGCAAGCTGACCAGCAGAGAATCCTAACTCGCTGCTGTAGACCATGGAGGCCATGTGGAACATAGAAACTGGGGACTACAGCTACACAGTAACCCCCAGTCCAGGACCAGCACCAGGAACCAACAGAGTGGTGACTGTAGTATCCATCTGAGACCATCCAACCAACACAAGACCTTGGCTCTTCTGCACCCCTGCCCAGGGGTAGGACATCACACAGCAGCGCAACAGAATGGTATCCGTCTCTTACCATTCTCCTTCACTGTGATGGAGCCGGAGCTGATACACATTGCTCATCTTAATATCCAAATTCCCCTCATCATCTTCTTCCAAGGGTAAAAAGGTGACACTCCCACTGGTGACATCTGAGGGGAAAGACAAAGCCAACAGGTTACACCTGCTCTTGGGAGCAGAACTGAGCAGCAATGAACATGAAGAGGCTGCTTTCCAGCCCTCAGTGACTGACTGTCTAGCACTGGGGAGAAGGACTCTGCACACCATTAGAGAAAGCACTTAGAAAGTACAAGGCCAGAGCAAGTGGTGGTGGTACTATCCTTTAACCCCAGCATGCAGGAGGCAGAGGCAGGTGGATCTCTGTGAGCTCGAGGCTATGGTCTACAGAGTGAATTCCAGGATAGTCAGGGGTACACCCTCCCCCCCTCTATCTATCTATCTATCTATCTATCTATCTATCTATCTATCTATCTAT